ACTCCAAAGATAAGAAAATGCTTCATGTCAGCACATACTCAGCAGCCCATGGTTTCGGCTCTAGTTATACTTTACAGGGCAATGAGGAACGATTCGTATTTGTGGAGCACCCAATCTACAGAAGACCTACATCATGCAAATACTGGCAAAACCAACAGGAAAGAATGGCAAATGTGCCATGGATTACAGGATGTCAAACCCTCATTATACTCGAACCTGCCACTCTTGCTTCACATTGACAGAAATCAAACAAGACTCTGGTGTGCAGCAGCATCTTAACGCCCAACCTTACTAGTATCATAGCAGAAACAGCAGGCTACACATTCTTTTTAGCATCCGCAAAGAATTTACCAAGGTAAATGACACTCTGAGCCATAAAATAAACCTCTCAAGATTTAAAATAACCACTGCCACACATAATTTTGGTCATATACAATTAGATTAGAAATCAAAAAAAGAAAAGTTTAAAAAAAATAAAAATGCTCATGTAGCTTAAAATCAAAGAGCACACTTCAATACTCCCTGTGTGCATATTTTACAGACAAAAACTGAAATATGCAGAACTGAATGAAAATGAGAATACCACATAAGAGGGAGCTTATAGAACTGAATGTTCATGTTTTTTAAAAAATCTTAAATCTTTAAGGTTAGATTCTTTTTCATTTAAAAACATTACTTTTCATTTTACATACCAAGACCAGTTCTCCCTCCCCTTCTCCTGATAACCCACCCACCCTTCACAACCCCATAGAGGGGTTAAGGCCTTCCTTGGGAAGTCACCAAAGTCTGGCATACCAAGTTGAGGCAGGACCAACACCCCACCCCACCTCCCACCCCCGGCAATATCAAGGTTGGGTAAGGTATTCCACCATTGGGAATGAGCTCCAAAAAATCAGCTCATACAGGTTCCCCAACTGTCACTCCTTAGTCTTCGAGCTCCCACTAGCTCAGGTCAACTGTGTTTTTCTCCATCATGCCCTTGACCCCCCCCCCCTTGCTCATATGATCCCTCTTCCCTCTCTTCAACTGAACTCCAGGACCTCAATCCAGTGCTTGACTGTGAGTCACTGCCTCTTCTTCCATCAGTTACTGGATGTAGGTTCTATGATGACAATTAGGGTAGCCACTAATCTGATTACAGGGAAAGGCCCATTCAGGCACCCTCTCCATTATTGCTAGGAGTCTTGGCTAGGGTCATCCTTCTGGATTTCTGAGGATTTCTCTAGCACCAAGTTTTTCCCTAACCCCATCTCGGTTCCCTCTATCAAAATATCTCCTTCATTGGTCTCCCCCTCTGTCTGTCCCCCAACTTGGTCTTCTTGATCCCTCATGTTCCCAACCCCCATCCCCTCCTTTATACCCGCCCTCCCAGTTTACCTATTCTCTCTTCCTAGGGCCCTCCATGTGTGCCCCTCTTAGGGGCTCCCTTTTTATAAGGTAAAATTCTTATTTAAAGAAATAGAAAGAACTGAAAACCAAGCCTGAGGAAAAAATAATAAGTAAAGATGAGAACATAAATACACAAAATTAAAAACAGAAATATAGTAGAGAAACCCAGTGCAGCAAAGAGTTGACTTTTAAAATGTATTAATAAATCTAAACTGCTAAAAAGCCTACAAAGCGTGAACAGAACAGGCCTGAATGACCAAGGCCAGCAGAGCTGTGAGAGCACTGCATACCCTGAACTCTTCAAAGGGTAAGTCTACAAACTGCACACACACTAATGGAAGCGTGAAGATAGGATCACACAATATATAATATATAATAAGTTTCCTCCCCAATGTGCTTTTTAGCTCTTTATTAGACCAATCAGGTGTTTTAGACACGCAAAGTAACACAGCTTTACAGAGTTAAACAAATGCAATGTAGAAGAATGCAACACATCTTTGGTCCAGTGTAGCATATACACTGGATCACACAATATATATATTACAATAATATAATAAGTTTGTAATTACAAGACCTTCCAAACAGCAAAACAAAACTGCCATGAACCAGATTGTTTTGTTTTGTTTGCTTTTTACTTTTACTAATTCTTTGTGGATTTCACATCATTCAGCCCATCCCACTTATCTCCATCTCCTAGAATCTGCCCTCTGCCCTTCAACTCCCCCTAAAATCAAAACCAAATTTAAAAGAAAAACCAAAACAAACAAACAAAAAGAAAATTATCATCATGGAAGCTGTAATGTGGCCCGTTGAGGCACAGTTTACCCTTTAATCCATTTATCTTTACTTGCAAGTGTTCGTTGTCAGGATCATTGGTCTTGAAGCTTATATATCCCGACCTCACTTCTACCAAGCTGAACCTAGTACTTCCTCATTTAAGTAGCTTCTAGTCAAGTATATGGTCACAACCACCAGAAAAGCAACTAATAATGACACTCGGTGAGATTAAAAGGCTTATGCCCAGTGAATGAAACAACTAGTTGAATGAAGGGACAACATGCAGAATGTGAGAGAAATCTTAGCTAGCTGTAAGTCTGAAAGAGTACTAATATCTATGGTATATAAAGAACTCAATAAATGAAACAAGAAATCAAACAACACAACCAATGAATGGGCTAATAAGATGAACAGACAGTTCTAAAAATTTGAAATACAAATGGACAATAAACATACAGAAACTATTTAACATTGCTAGCCATAAGAAAAATGCACATCAAAACTATATTGAAATCCAGTCTCACCAAGTCAGAATGGCAGTCATTAAGAAAATAACAAATGTGGTTGAGAAATGTGGACAAAAGGAAGCCATGGTAAACACTGCTGCTGGTGGAGATGTAAACTAGTCCTGCTACTATAGAAATCAGTATGGAAATCTCACTAAGCACTCAGATAAATCTACCATTCTACCTAGCTGCAGTATACTCCTTGGTATTTACCCGAAGGAGTACAAATCAAGAGACTGAAAAGATACTTGCATACCAAACCATGGAACCAAAACAGGTGTCCAAATTCAGAGGAATCGGTAAAGAAAATGTAGCATATACACTGGATGGATTTTTTTTGACCATTCAAATGGACCAAAGGTAACAAGTAGAGCTAATCATACCGAGCAAACTTTTGGTCTCAGAAAAACAAGCCACCTTTTCTCTCATTGGATCATTGACTTTTAAAAGCATAAAACCATATATGTATATGTGACATGAAAACACAAGTGTCACTGCCTAAAGAAACAAAGGGAACTAACATGAGTGGTGAGGGAAAGAAAAGGGAAGGGAAGGATATATGGGGGTCTGCTCAGTACACAATACAGAGTCATTGAAGACATCCTTATGGCCCACGGCACTGTATAAAATTAATTCGCTCGCATGATGAAAATTTAAATAATGACCAAAAGATAAGAAGGGAGAGCAACTTAGGTCCGAACTTAAATCCTTGACAACACATACATGTAGTAAACTACAACTTAGCAATAAACAAAACCAGAGAAGATAAGTGGAGACACCTAGAGTATTCACAATGGAAACACTCAACATATTCACAATATGAATTAAGTCCAATTAATTATAAGCTTAAAACAATTTCCATCAAATTCAGAACCAGATTGTTTTTCTTGATACAGGCAAGCTTATCTTAAAATTTACATCTCTTTATTCAATTCCTTTTTCAAATACTGTTTTGCTTTTGTCATTCATTAAGCCTAATTTTATATTTCTTAAGGCAGCTGTACTGGCTGGTTTTGCATGTGAACTCGACAGGAGCTAGAATCATCAGAGAGGAAGGAGCCTCGGTTGAGGAAATGCCTCCACGAGATCCATCTGTAAAGCATTTTCTCAATTAGTCATCAGTGGGGTAGAGCCCATTCCATGGTGGGTGGTGCCATCTCTGGGCTGGTGTCCTGAGTTCTATAAGAAAGCAAGCTTAGCAAGCCAGGAGAAACAAGCCAGTAAGCAGTACCCCTCCATGTCCTCTGCATCAGCTCCGCCTTCGGGGTTCCTGCCCTGTTTAAGTTCCTGTCCTGACTCCCTTCAGTGATGAACAGCAATGCTGAACTGCAAGCCAAATAAATCCTTTCCTCCCCAATGTGCTTTTTGCTCTTTATTAGACTAATCAGGTGTTTTAGAGACGCAAAGTAACACAGCTTTACAGAGTTTAACAAATGCAACATAGAAGAATGCAACACATCTTTGCATCCTTACACAAATGTTCCACAGCATAAACAAATGTAACAGATCTTTAACTAACATTCTGCAACACCCCCCCCAAAAAAAATCCCCTCTGCTAACATTTGTCATGCTCTTTGGACAACATGATGGAAGTGGCAGCTTTCTCTAGCCTGCAAGCAGCTCCTCTTGGGATTTGTCAATGCGGGAGTCCACCTGGAGCAGATGCTTTCTCCTGTACTTCCAATTGAGGGAGCTCCATTGGTATTTTAGAGATTCCTGCCCTTCCCCAGCCAGGAGCCAAAAGTAATGACTTCCTGTCCCTGCTGGGAGTACACCAACATAATATAGTTCATGATGCTCCAAGTTCACCAGGAGCTTCTAATTCCCTGCAGACTCATTTAGTTTGCTCCCCACAGCTTTCTGAAAGGCAACACCTCTCTACCAAAGGGCTTAGGAAAAGAACATTTGCTCAGCTGTCAGCCTGACATTATGTCTTCCTTTCCCTGTGCAGTGCAGTTCTTTTCAAACTGTTCTGGCCCAGCCACCACATTGCCTTACACTAGACAAAAAGACACTTGAATGTCAAAGTGCAAATCAAGATGCAAACTGTCAGATGAAGGCAGAGACAGGCATGTACAGCATGCAGTATTTAGTTTTAAGTTAAAAAAAATCCTGAACACACAGTGGCTTCCAGGCAGCTGGAAAGCAAAGGGAAGGAGGAGATGCTTTACCGGGGCCTTTATTCAATAGGAAATCAAACTTCCTTCCTGAAGCTTAAACTGAACTTCTCTATTATTTCTTTTCCCAAAGGCAGCATGTCTACAGTTCTAAAAAGGGACACTTGGTGTTGCCTTTCAGCAAAGGTGATCCTGTTTCTTTCTCTTCTAGCCAGTGCTAGAGATGAAGCCAGAGTTTCCCCCGTGGCAAGAGATGCTCTGCCACTGAACCGCCCGCTGCTTTCAAGAAACGACAAGAATGCTTTTCCTTCTGCACACAGGTACAGACAGGGTTACAGCCTTGTCTGTAGCCACAGGGTCCCTTGAGATTAGCCCTTCAGCATTATGGCCTGTCCTCGGGTCCTTCTGGGTTTTATTTGCAAGGTTTCAGGCTTCATTTTCTGGGCCTCCTAGAGAGGCTGTTCTCTAGTCTGTTTCATGAGTGATGGCTGGAGGGTTTCCCATCTCCTACAGATAAAGTCCCATCATTTGTTTCCACCAGAGACTGGGAAACACATGTGCACAAGATGGGAGAGAGTCCAGAGGACCTCAGAGGAGAGAGGGTGCATTCTGGGCCAGGTAGTAGCTTTGGGGGATTTGTAGCATCTCCCAGCACAGAGCACTATAATCAGCTTCCCGCAGTTGTCACAGGCTAAGAACCAGACAGACATCATGGGAAGGAGCAATCCATCAAGTGAAGACAGGATTGCAAAGAGAGACACCCAAGGCTAAAACTATAATGTTTATCTTTGCTGCAACCCAGACATGCCTTCTGGGTGCTGTTTTTTTCTTTCATGCATTTAACCTTATAAAGGGATCTACTATTGTCTTAGCCAACAAAAAGAAAGAAGAGGAAACTGAGAGTATTGTAATTTCTGAAAAAAGGCTTTCCATACTTTCTTATTGCATACCCACACTATGCACCTCAGCCCATTGTGTGTGTGTGTGTGTGTGTGTGTGTGTGTGTGTGTGTGTGTGTGTGTGTGTGTGTATGGGAGAGAGGGGGGTGTATGTATGTGTGTGAGAGAGAGGGTATCTGTGTGTGTGGTGTGTGATGTGGTCTGTGTGGTATGATGTGTGTGTATGTGTAGTGTGTGTGTGTGTGTGTGTGTGTGTGATGTGGTGTATGTGTGTAGTGTGGTATGGTATATGTGTGGTGTAGTATGATGTCTGTGTGTGTGGTGTGTAGGAGTGGAGTTGTACCCTCTGCCTTGTCTCTTGACAGGTTATGAGTCTCTCAATTTTATCACCAAGGGAATCTCTCCTCCTCCTTCCATGGAACCTGACTACAGCAGCGCACACTTCCTTAAACACCACACTGTGTTGGGGACCTCTTTACCTGCTGAGCATCCTCACTGTGCACATCCCCACTGTGTCAGGACACAATGGCTGGGCTGAGCACACATTTGGCTTTGTGTCTAGGCACCGTACTGAACCTTGCTCAATACTGCAAAGGCAACTAAACCTTTCCATATGCAACTAAATCTTTCCATATGCTTGCCTCCAGACTTCAGAACATGATATTTCTTTGCCAGAAGTTTTCAAGAGTGTTTTTATCATCCAGGTTAAACAGCAGCCACTCTGGTCAAGCTGTTTAATGTTACATCTTCCTTTCTTCCTTCTTTCATGTGCTAAACTTATTTTGGATTGTATCTCCTTGGTCCTCCTTCTAGAAATTTCTCTACCAAATTCTGCCTCTCTCCAGCCCACAGTGTTGCTCATTTTACTGCATCTTCTCTTGGACAATAGAAACCACAAAGTGTTCTCCTCCTTTATCTAAGAAACAGTTGTCCTCTCTGTCCCAATCCTTCTTAAATCCATTCTGCCTTCATCTGCATGGCCCCACAAGACACAGTGAAAGAGAGGGATACAAAGACAAAGTGGCAAGGAGAGCTGTGCATGTTCTCAGGGCTGGCCTGGGCCCTGACACAAGCCAGACCTCAACTGGGGTGCTCTATCTGGAAGCCTGGGCTTTGCTTTCTACCCATGTCCAGCATCATAAAAGAATCATGTGACATATCACTACACTTTGGATCAAAATTCAAATTTCAAGAGAGTCCCCTGAATGAGTATTGCTTTCAAACCACTGTAAATTAAATTAAAGAGAGATTGTACATCAAGCCAGTGCTAAAAGGCAGTCTGTGTACTTTGCTTCAATTAAAAATTACCAAAATACCCAAGGCTCCATTTCAATCATAAGTGTGGCTTCAAGGGCTTCAGTGAAGGCCATGGTGCAATCATGAATCTCAGGATAAGAATAAGTGCCTACCCACCTTCTAGGCCCAATACCTCAAAGCCTTGATGTGTGAGAAATGTGTGCTGAGTGTCTGAATGCCAAAGTAGGGTACTTTCTAATCTAGTACTTTGTAAATCTATTTGGAATGGTGCACATTATTGTTTGCCTGACTGTAACTGCTTATATTTCTACTAGTGCTATCTCTGTGTGTATCTGTCTCTGTCTCTCTGTGTGTCTCTCTGTGTTTCTGTCTCTGTCTCTTCTCTCTCTCTCTCTCTCTCTCTCTCTCTCTCTCTTGTCTCTGCAGTGCTGGAGATAGGACCAATACTTCACACACTCTGAGTTTGTGCTCTACCACTAGACTACAAGCCCAGCCCTTTCTTCCTGTTTTGAATTTGCCATTTGTATGCTGTGTTCAGAGACTGCTTTTAAAACACATAGTTATTAAGCATGGTTTAGTGTAAGAATTTTTGTAGCTATTCTGTATAGTCTTGAAAAGAATGTGCATTCTCAATAGAAAATAGGAAAGACTGTAAGTCTGCTAATTTTCAGAGATAGTATACTAAATAGTAACATGAACAATTTCCACTACAATGAAATTTCTCTTTTTGACTATGTATCCATACACACATAGATAACAGAGAGGCATACAAATATTTTATATATTTTATATATCATCCTATTTGACTCTGTAGCTCAGGCTAGCCTTAATCTCATGGCTATCATCCGTACTCAGCCTCCCCATATTAGGTTTACAGGCATGAGCCATGCTGCTCGGCTGTCTGATTGATATACTTTTATCATGTCTTTGGAAATGACTGTTATGTTGTCTCTGTTCTATTGAATGTTAAGCATTAACTCTGTCATGTGTAGACACCATGTACCACTACCTTTTCACTTTATCACTTCTATTTTATTATCAAGATATATTTTGATTTCTAGTGTACTTTTGGCTCTTCCACACTCCTCTGAGATCCTGTTTAAAAGCTAAGTCCAGACAAAACTTGTATTTCTGCTTTCTTTTGATACTTCACTTTTGACATGCTATTTGGCTGTCCTTATATAATGTTTGTTTATGCTCTGTTTTTCCCTTTATTAGTACAATTATTTTTAAAACTTTTATTTTTAGTAATAACTACATTTAAATGTTTCATAATAAAGAGTATGGTTGTGTCTCAATCATAAATGATAAATTGATGAATCAGGGTCTTAACACCTCTTGTGTAAGACAAACAAAATGATGTTTAATCCTCTCAGCCACATCTCTGCATATTTAGTGACCTTCATTAATTGGATATGAGATTTTAGACTCAAGTCATATTTGTTAAATTATCATTTAAAACAGATATTCTACTCAGATATATTTTGGTTATTCAAGTCAATATAGTTTAATATATTTACATGCATTAATTACTAACTTTCTATAAATATGTATTTAACTGATACAAGCTTTTATGATTGGTCATTTTCTCAACAATTATATAGCTGTAGGATACTGAGGAAGCTCTGTTCAAGTGAAGTCCTTAATGAATGAGCATTGTTGGCAGAGGCATGGCCATGTTGAGGGCTTCAACCACATGGGACTGGCAAAGCTTTAACCCAGGCTAGGATCAGAAGAATAGCCAAGTTGTTCTTGGAAGTCTAAATATGAATGCTTATGGAAGAGTGGCCACTGGGTACAGAAACTAGAAATTGCAGCTTCCTCTTTTGAAATATTTACACTCTGAGGCTGCTGGTTTGCAGATACCTCCTACCAAGACTAGCTAACCCCTCCTCCTGTGCTGTATCTAATAAAAATGCTGAGGTTCTGGGTTGTTGGCGTTAGTAAGTGCCACTCTAACAGTTAACAGGCCTCTGCCTAATTTCAGCTTTCCTGCATGTGTATCTGTGTGTCCGTCCTTTCTTCAGTCTCTCATCACACTGTGGTGATATCTTGCTTGTACAAATAAAGCCTGTCTGAGGATCAGAGAATGGAGCTTGCTGCTAGCTAACTATAGATGTCTGGAGGTCTGTACAGACAGACAGGAAGTGAGATAACTGGGCAGAAACAGGATATGAGCAGGGAGAAAAGGAAACTTGCTCTTTTGTCTGGTGAGATGGTAAGGAGTTAAGGTGTGGCTGTGGCTTGCTCCTTCTTCTCTCTGATCTTTCAGCATTTCCCTCTATATTTGACTCCAGTTTTTATTATTGAGACCAATTAAAAACTCCATCTACATCAAACCTAGTCAGGATTCCAAGAACCAAGCCAAGTGGGTTCTGATATATAGCTTAAGTGCTTAATTCTGGGATACATATTTAAATCATGTTGTTTTAAGAAACAACAGTTAACTTTTTTTTTTTTTTCAGAATCCCAACTCACCTAATATATTCATAGGAAAAAGGGGAAATGACATCTGGTCATCAAAACAGCAGGTGATAACACACTTTTGAATGTCATCTTTGAGTGATGACACACCCACAGCATCCTCTGAGGTCTCCATGAATGAGCTTGGTTAATATAACAACTCTGAGACAGGAGGCATCACTCCCCCACCATAGAAGTGAGGCTATGGGGTCAGACAGGTGGCTAACAGAGACACTGAGGGCTTCAGTAACCATGATAGGTACAAGGATCTCTCCTGGACTTTAAATGGGGCCCTTAGAGCATAGCTTTTCCTGGTGCAACCTTCTAATTGGTCATTTAAGGAGATGCTGGGGAGGGAAGACTCTGATTGTAGTTTCTGTTTATGTGCAAACACTTCTTACAGAAGTGTTTGTAATTAATAAGGTTTGCAGACTATGTCTTAGTTTGAATATCATTCCATTAACTTTATCTGGGACACAAAATGTATTTTATTATGTCCTTCATAATCAGTTGTTTTATCAGTTGTCTTTTTAAATATCCAAATATATTTTATTAAACATCATTTTGATATTTAATTACTAGTTTTCTTTTTCAATCTTAGTATGGAACCCAGGGCTTCAAGCCTGATGTTTCCCAATTAAAAGAAAAAATAATTATAAAATTTCATTGGACCCCAAAAGCCTGTTCATCTAGTG